ACCCAACCAAGTAAACACAGAGACTTATATTGTTTACAAACTGTATGGCCGTGGCAGGCTTCTTGCTAACTGTTCTTACAGCTTAAATTAATCCACTTCCATAAATCTATACCTTACCACGTGGCTTGTGGCTTACCAGTGTCTTCACATGGTTCTTGTCATAGTGGCGGCTGGCAGTGACTTCTTCTGCCTTCCTGTTCTTTCTTTTTTCCCCTGTTAGTCCCGCTATACTTCCTGCCTAGCCCCTGGCCAGTCCCACAGCACCCCCAATATGGGGTGCCCTTACCAACCAACTTCTTTCCTTCACAGGAGGCTGCAGGGCATTTACAGGCTGCGCCACAGTGGCCTCTAAGAGGAGTGAAGACAGAGGTACCTCAGGGTATGGTGAGCTAAGATCAGAAGCTTGCCTGGTCCTCAGGGGCCAGTCTCTTAAGTGGGCAGTATATCCCCTGCTTTCTGCTTGTCTCGTTCATTGAAAATAAACATCATCGGGTGGATTTAAAGCCACTTTTTTTTTTCTTGGACCATCATCCCTTATAGACAAGACTCTTGTAACCACCATTTTCCTGAACCAGATGAGTGATAGCCAGCCACCCCACGGCAGAAAAGCATGACTGTGTGTGGAGCAAATTCCTTCTCCTGGATCCTGCTTTTCAATGATCCCCTTTTGAAAACCTTGTATAGTCACATTTATCAGTCTTTCCTCTTAAGGATCTTTTAAGCTTTTAGCTACACAATTTTCTCCTGTTCTTGTCCAAGCCCATATCAAGATGGAGACATCAGAAGTCCTCATTTCAGGCCTGCCTTGCTTGTCTCTCAGGCTCACTCTGGAGTGTGTGTGGGGCGGGGGGCTGGGGAGGCAAGAGGGAGAAGCAGCTCCCAAAGTACCACAGCTGTGCCTAGTTCAGACTCATACATTTGCTTCCTCCCCTCCCCCATCAGGCCCTGATCCCATCGGGAGACCAGGTCTGAGGCAGCCATCCCAGGTAAGAGGCATGCCATGCAGTCATTAACTCTACAGCATAAGATGCTAAAAGCTGGATTTCTCTACCACCTTCCTGTGGCTGTGGCCTGGCCATAGTTAGATCCAGAGGATAGCTGGGGCCAGTCCTCCAGAGAGTGCAGGCCATTTCCCTGGCCAAGGAGTACAAGTGACAACTAGGTAGGGCCAGGGAAGGGCAGCATCTGGAAAGTCCCGGCCGTGTGTCCGTGTCCGTGTCCATGTGTGTGTGTGTGTCCGTGTGTGTGTGTGTGTGTGTGTGTGTGTGTGTGTGTGTGTGTGTGTGCAGTGAGACCCTAGTGGCCTGTGGAAGAGGAGAAGAGGCTGTGGCACAGCGAGACTATGATCTGTGTTGCCCTTTCTGTAGACAGGGCTTGAGAGCCAGGTCTCTATGGACCCAGAATTCTATGCAAATGAAGGACAATTTCTAATGCTGTCATTGTGGTTGCATTGCCCTGGGATTTTGCTTTGGGGATCTGTGTGCTGGTGCCCTTGGGTGCTGGTGCCCTTGGGGTGCTGGTGCCCTTGGGTGCTGGTGCTCCTAGGGGGTTGTTCTCTGTGGTGGTGCATTGGGACTTGACAGGCAATGGCGCACTCTGCTCCACAGCTCCACACCCCCTGTTCCTATGCAAGGCACTCTCAGGCCCCACTTGCTCTACGTGCCACATGAACCTCTGATCCTGGCTCTGGCCCTCATCCTGCAACATTTTTCCTCTGGTGGGTTTCACAATCTATCATCCTGACTATCTGGATGCTGCCTGTAGGCCATCAGCATAGGCCCCATGGTAGGAAGAGTTTAGGTCCAAAGGAGCTGGCTCAAACAGACAATGACATCCTTCAAAAGCCACCTGAGGCCTGTGCTTGACCGGGCCCCCATCTGACCATGCCTGTCCTCAGAGTTGGCGGCAAAGGGCACTAGCATTTCAGGCTCAGCAGCAAAAGTGGCACTAACTTGGCCTGACCTTATTACAATTCCAGCATCCTGCATCAGACATTCTCCCAGGGACTGACCGAGCTTGGAGGATGGCAGCCAGTAGCAGCGGTGTGTGTGCATCCTTTCCTGCCCCGAGAGAGAAGAGCCACCACCCTCCTCCCAGGTCACAAGGTAAAGTCGCCCTATGGCTGTATTGAGTCGTCCTCGTGCCTGCTGCCAGAACAGTGATCTGTGCCCATCCAGACAGGCAGAGCAAGCAGAATGTACCTGGTCCAAATGTCACTCAACATTCTGGTCCCCTCTAAAATCCAAGCCAGGCCTATTGGAATCTATGACATCTGGCTTCAGTCCAATCCTGGTGAGTCTGGCTTACAAGCTTGATCCAACCCTTTTAAAAGTCAGTATGAGACCTTGCACTTCAAACGTTCTGAAAGGCAAAGCTCCACTTTTTCCTATGCAAATTAGAGTAACAGCCCCAGGCTCAAATTATGGCAGACGCTCACTGAACCGGAAGAGGAGGGGCGATAACAGGGAAGGCTGTGCCAATGGAGTCAGTGAGTCCTCCGGGAACCGGGGTCCCAGGAACTAACTTCACCTGGTCTGATCATTGGGACTGAAGGGCCTGTTGAACCTGGCCTAGTAGGAATGGAGGATAGGGGTGTCGGCGTATAACTGCAGGGCTCTGGGGCTGCATAATGTGTGGACAACTGGCCAACAGGGGCTTTGAGCAGCAGCTGGACACTGCTTTGTAGACAGTGGTCAGCAAGGTCTGTGTGCTCAACTGACCGAGGCTGTGCCTGGCCCACAGTCCACACTGGGGGAGAAGGAAAAAGTCATGCCTATGTGCAATTGAGCACTCAGCTAGACATGCTTGTAGTAATAATGCCAGTACTGGCAGGCTGTCCCAAGAGTCCTGGCTAGATATATATGCTGGGCCGAGAGATGGGCTGGGAAGCCAGAGCTTGAAAGTGAGACATTCACTGCGAAATGTGCAGAGACAGGACAGTTCGAGATGACCCAGCCATAGTGGCCAACTCCAAATCCCTTGTTTCTTGCTACCACTGCTACTCCTGCTCTGTCATGCAAAGACCAATGTCCTGGTTCAAAGGTCATCATCAAGCAAGAGGAACTCTCTTTGTCCATTTGTTCTGTTTAGACTTTCAACTGATTGAATGAGGCCCGTCCACACTGGGAGGCCTATCTGCTTTGTTTGACCCACTGATTCAAAGGTTATTATCCTCTGGATCTTCCTCACGGACACACCTCAGATAATGTTTGACTGTATGACTAGTCCCCTTGGACACAACAAAGGTGACAAGCTCCCACCACACTGTGGGTGAGGATGACAAGGTCTGCTAACCTGCCGGTCTCTATCTCGCCCTTTCTTAGCTCCCAGCAGTGGTTTTGAAGGACTTGTGCTCCAGGGGTCAAGGGCCTGTCTGCTCTGGTCAAGCTCTGTGGCCTGGGCCATTTGTGGATCAGCTTCCCTTGCCTGTGGTTTGGGGACAGGGTTCCTGGGCTACAGGTGAGTAGCTGAGGTTTTTAGACATCCTTGGGTGCTTGATAGATGTCTAGGATCTGTGAAGAGACTCAGGTGTTTTGCGGAACTCATACACAGTTACCAATGTCACTATTTTCTCCCGTACTCCGCCCCTTCTGAAGGGTGAATACAATCATATGCAAACCCCAAAGGGTTACTCAACCCTGTCTAGACGGAGTCCTAAGTACCAAAAAAGAAGCTATGGGGAGGGGGTGGCAGGCATCCAAAAAAGGGGGCATCTGCCACTAACCTTATCAGAGGAAAAACACTGATGCTAGCCAAAGTCAATAATATTGTTTGAAAAAATAAATGTACACTGTTGAGCTGGGCTATGATGGTACATCAAATATCCTAACCAGTCCTTCCCACATGTTACCTCTTCACCTGGCTCTATGTGGTTTAGGCCACCACTGAAGAACTGGAGGGCCATCCTTTGTGTCTCTGGAGAAGCCTACACCATGTTCCTATCCCATGAGGAAGAGGAGCCACCCAAGGCTCTTTCTTCCTGATAATGTCCTTTCTCCCTGCATTCACAAAGTGAAGATGGGGCAGGCGCTTTTCTTCATGCCTGTTTGCTTATCTGTAAAAGAGGGACACTGGGTGTGCTTAATCCTGAGGCTTGAAGATGAAATACAGATCCTCACTACAGCACCACCTACATTTCCCAAGTCCTTGTCTGTGCTCTGTCCTGTCTTCATTTTAGTTTCCGGGAGGTTGGTACTCCCTCAACAGGGAAGGACTCTGCTTTGATGGGCAGACAGACCTGGCACCCATCCCACAGCCCCTCCTCAACCACAGCCCGTGTCTCCCAGCAGTGAAAGCATCATTGCCCTGTGGCTGTAACTCTGTCTTCATGGGTAGCTCGCTCCCATGATGTCAACTGAGCCCTCTTCTGGACAGGTTTGTGCCAGAGCAGTTTATGTGGTGGCTGCACCTGCTGTTACTCTCTGTGATCTGCTGTGCATCTGTCACCCAGCCACTCATGGTAAGACACTCCCCTGTGGTGGAGGTGCCTTCGCCACCAGGGGACCAGGGAGGAGAGGGACCAGTGAATGTGTTTTGATGGTGTGCGTCTTCTCTTTCAAGTTGGAACTAGATGTGATAAGAAAATCTGGGAGCCGGGGCCTGGGTTTAGCTTCACCTCAACCTGGTATTCCGAATCCTTATTTGAAAAATCCCCATAGAGATGGACAACTTTGCCTCTATCTTCAGTTTCTGAAACTGTGCCCTAGAGGCCCTGAGTCTCTTGGTGAAGGCCACACCCAGTGACCAGGTGCTGGGGACTTCAGGGTAGCGGCTTCTGGTATCTATTTTTGAACTGAGATGAAGTCATCTGGCAGTGCAGGACCAAGAAGATGGCTCTCTGTGAGAGGAGCACAAATAGACACTGTGTTGTGGCACCTCTCTTCCAGATCTGTTTGGCAGCGCTGGCCTTTGCCTGGAAAAGGAAACATGACAGCCAATTTTTTACTGAATCTTTACATGATGCAACCAGGGGTCTCGATTTGGAATTGGAAGAATACTCCAGAACCCACATTCCTCATTCTCCCAGCTCCTGTTGTTCTGACAGTGCTGAGGAGGCTGAAAGGGTGAGCAGGACGGGGAGGGTTCAGAACTGTTCTGTTCCCACCATGCAGAAGGGAACTCAGACCTCAGTTCAAATTTGGCTGCACTTTTGGAGCCCCACTGTGAGGTGTGTGTGTGTGTGTGTGTGTGTGTGTGTGTGTGTGTGTGTGTTTATGTGTAAATTTCTTATGCTTCTTTCTTTACCCCATTCCCAGTGGAATCAGAGCCACAAGGAAATGGGTGCATTTGAAAATGTAGTGGCAAATGAGAAATATAACTTCTGACCGCAGTTTCAGAGAACTTTTAGATCGTTTGCTTTTCTTCCCCCCCCTCCCCCCCCCCAGAGCTGAGGACTGAAACCCAGGGCCTTGCACTTGCTAGGCAAGCGCTCTACCACTGAGCTAAATCCCCAACCCCTGATCGTTTGCCTTTCAATGCACACACATAGAAAATATATAGCTTCCCTCTCTCCCCATGCTTCCACACAGACATTAGTGGTCTCCATGTCCCGAGTGTAGGCCCGGGTCACGCCATCTCTGACCCCATCCTTCATCACCTTCTGAGAAGCGGCACTGCTCTACTCTCTACCCACCTGCAGCCCCCCCCCCCCCAGCTTCCCATCCTTCTTCCTCCAGACTCTCTTCCTCTGTCAGCATGGGCACCTGTGTCCAAGCCTGAGGCAATCAGCAAGCTAGCTAGTCTAACCTCTGGACTGAAAGGCCTTTGAGGAACTCAGTCCCGATCAGGCTTGAATCTCCAAACCTATGTCTGCGGTGTACCTGGCCAGGGTGCACAGTCCTCAGAACACAGGGCAGAGCTGAACCACAAGCCCAGCCCCCAAGGTTCACTTTCCAGTGCTTGCTCGATACTTCTTAGAAGCCCAGCAGCTCTGGGAGGAAGGACTGAGGGCCTCAGGGGTTGCTCCCTGAATGTGCATGGAATGGGTAAACAGATGAATGAAAAATGAATGGGTCACTATTTTCCATGGGTTTGGCTCTTGGCTAGTGTTAGTCCTGCCCATAAACAGATGCAGCTACAACATGGAAGCCATAATGATTTTATTACACCAGGCAAACAAAGGTCATTTCATACTAAAATAAACCGCTTTAAAATCACTTTTCCAGTCTTTGAAGGTCTCTAACAGGAACTACTATGCAAATGTAAAAGGCAATTGCTCCTGTGATTGGTCAGCAGTGGCCACGCCTCTCTTGTGAAGCTATGCTTTGTAATGGCCCAGAGGCAATCCATGCCAAAGGCGCTGGCTTGGGACATGAGCAGAGTTTTCAAATGGGCCTGCTCCGTCTCCCATTGCCTCCCCAACAACGCAGTGTGTGTTGACTGCACAAAGTCCCTATTTGTCCCCCGAATGCAAGGCAAAGAGCAATGATGACAGCTCTTGGGTTGGCAGGGACACCAAAGGCCTCTCTCTCTCTCTCCAGTGCTGACCCCAGTATCACGGTATTCTCCCCCACCACAGGTCTTGGCTGCCCGACAACGAGAACGCCACCTGCGCTGGGCTCAGCCACCATCCAGGGCCAAGTTCAGAGTGACCAGGGAGAGACTGAGGAAAGAGAGCCGGGTGCAGGCAGCCCTGAGGTGGGTGCAGGCAGTCCGGGGTGGGCACAGGCAGCCCTGAGGCGGGTGCAGGCAGTCCCGGGTGGGCGCAGGCAGCCCCGAGGTGGGCACAGGCAGCCCCGAGGTGGGCCAAGGCCAGAATACAATGGGCTTTTTCTGGTACTGGTACTGCCTTTTTTTTTTTTTTTTTTAAGAAGAAGCCTAAGAAATCTCAACCTGCACTTGGGAAAATCCTTTCCCAGGTCTCAGCCTGTGCTGGAACACGTGGGACAGAGACTGGGGGAAGAAAACTCTTCCATCACCTGCCTGTAATCAGGGACCTGGAGCTCTGCCCCTCAGCTCACTCAGCCATGCAGACTCACATGCATTATGTTTAATCCCCTCACATCACACTCTGTCCAGCACTAGACCTGGCATTCTGCTCTTCCAGCGATGAAAATCCAAGAGCAAATGTTGTACGTCTTCATAGACATTGACTGGGTCCAGCGACCGGTGTCTGAAAATAACTCAGCATAGTTTACACAGGCATGTTCTGGGGCTCAACATAAAATCCATTTCAAATTTTGAGATAAAACGTGAAGCTTAGTAACTGAGACAAACCTCCTCAAATTAGACATCTACCATGCTTTTTTTTTTTTATTAGTGGAACCCATCCCCCTGCCCATCTGTGGTGACCACTAATAGCAGTTCCTGGAAGAACCTTCTGCAAGTACTAGTCAATACATGTCTCCCAGTTCTGAATTCTAGATTTCAGATTTCTTGAGTCTGTCAAGAATTTAGAAGCTCCAGATAATTTTCGCACAATGATGTTGCTAAAGCATGTAATGTCACCTCCAATGAATCATCTTCCTTAAAATATCCTACATTATCACCTGCTCACAGTCAGCTCCCTTAAATCAAAAGCACATTCTGTTTGTGAGTTTGAGGCCAGCCTGGTCTACAAAGCGAGTTCCAGGATAGGTTCCAAAGCTACGCAGAGAAACTCTGTCATGAAACACCACCCCCCACCACCACCACCACCCCCACCACCCTCAAAGAAAAGAACACATTCTGAAGCAAATCCTTTTCCAAAGAAAAGAGGTGTGGCCTTCCTAGGAAGTCACATTTAAAATGAATTTAAAAAAAAAGAAGAAGAAGAATTCTGGGAAGATAAGACATGACGAAGACTTTTAAACCTGCCCAGTCTCCCCATAGAAGCAGAGTGGTTCAATTACCCCCAACCAAACCCATGTATGACAGACCTAAGTGACACCACCCACCCACCCACCCCACCCACACACCCACCCCACTCACACGCTTAGACGTCGAAGTCTCATAGGGACAGTAAGCACGGTGTACCCAGTGCCCTGAGCATTGTACCTTTACAAAAGCAGAACATGAAGGCAACTGGAGGCACCTGAGCATCTGAGAATAGGGGAGGGGCCATCTAGAGCTCCTGAGGGGTCTCTCCAGGGACTGTGCTGCCAACACCCCCCCCCCCAGTTCACAGGTGCATGTAAAGACTGGGTAGCTGATGTCCACGGAGCTTGCTGAGCTGAACAGAGCAAAGCTGAGAAACCCAACTCCCCGGGGCAAAGGCTCACGCTGAGAGAGCCACAGGCAGAGTCCACACCAAGGCAGCCACCCAAGAGTACAGCTAGATACAGATTGATGAATGTAGGCATTGCACATGAACAGCGGTCAACACACAAAGAGACAAGAGTCCCTTCTTTCCTTTTTCTCTTTGGTAACCTGCAATTTCCACTAAGATCACAAGGAGTCGTGACAAGAAGAGGCAAACTGGCCAGTCTACACACAGAACATCAGCTTGTTCAACAGGTACTGTGCAAAGCAGTCATAAAGAAATGGAGCTATGGATTGACAGAGACCCGAGCAGAAAAGTGGCCAATGAATCTCCCACATAACAGACTGAGCAAGGAAAACCATGGCTCTCTCAACAGATGCACAAAATGTGCTTGGCAGAATCAAGCACTCATTCATGAAAGAAATGGGGAAGTTTACACACTTGAAAATAGGGAAGAGAGTTTCCATAAACAAATAAAGGGTGTCGATGTCACCTAACTGGCAAATCTACCTATGAAATACTCAGAAACACGATGGAGATGACCCTCTCACCATTTCCACTAAACATCAGGTTGGAAACGTGGGCCAGTGAGATGAGGGTGGGGTCGAAGGGAAGATGGGTGATTCAAAGGAAAAACAGCAAACAGCTTCCTGGCAGCTGGCCAAAAGGTACGTGCTTCTAAGATAACAGGCAATGTTAAAAATCAACTGGGAGGCCAGGCAGTGGCGGCACACACATTTAATCCCAGCACTCAGGAGGCAGAGCCAGGCAGATCTCTGTGAGTTCAAGGCCAGCCTGATCTACAGAGTGAGTTCCAGGACAGGCACCAAAACTACACGGAGAAACCCTGTCTCAAAAACCAAAAATCAAACCAAAAAGAAAGAAAGAGAGAAAGAAAGAAAGAAAGAAAGAAAGAAAGAAAGAAAGAAAGAAAGAAAGAAAGAAAGAAAGAAAGAAAGAAAGAAAGAAGAGAAAAGAGAGGGGGGAGAGAGAGAGAAAAGAAAAAAAGTCAACTGGGGGCTGAAGAGGTGGAAGCTCTGTCTGTAAAGTGCTCTCTGTCCAAAATAAGGACCCAAGTTTCATCCTCAGCACCAATGTAAAAACAAGGCATACACTTGAAATCCCAACACTGGGAAAGTGGAGCCAGGAGCATCCCTGTCTAGCCAGGCAGGAGAATGGGTGAGCCACAGGCTCAGGTGAGAAGCCCTATCTTAAAAATCAGGTGGACAGCCCATGAGGAGCAACACCCAGAGCTGACTCCTGGCACACACACACACACACACACACACACACACACACACACACACACACACCTACACAAGTGAAAGCCCGCACACATGCACTCACACAATACAAAGCAGTTATTCCTATCTGCCTGCAGTGAAGAATATGTGAATTTGAATGTACAGCGCTGTTTACTGTAGCACTGAAGAAATCCAAGCATTCAAACGAAAATGTAAGCATGCATTCAGGAACTGTAACCGAACCCACAAAACTCTGATGAGACAAACTGAAGAAAGAGTGCACTGCCCACACCAACCCGCAGAGGGCAGTGCATCCGTGTGCTCCAAGCTGATCTGCAGATTCAGGGCACTCACCAAATACCTTAGGCGCTAGAAAACTGATGTCAGCAAACTGGTAACAAAATGAGTAAGGGGTAACAAAGGAACTAGAGTCACGAAAGCAATCCCGAAAAGGAATGAAGTTGGAAGGCTGACACTGTGCAATTCTAATATACACTACGGAGCTGCAGAAGCTGCTGTGTGCTGTTGGCAGAAACAAAAGCCACAGACCGATGAAATGGATGCCTGGATCAATGGGACAGAAGAGAGAGCCCAGGAACCACCACACGAATAGGTCCAAGTGTGTTTATTGACAAAAACATGAAGACGATTCAGTGAACAGATAGTCTTTTCAAAAAATGGAGCTGGGAAAGCTGAATGTTGATAACATAGAACAAGACCAATGCATAGGTGTTGAAATCCCACCCCTAGCGAAGGAGCTATTGGCAATTGATAGATGGTGGGAGGAGAGCCAGGTTTTGTGGGTTTTGTTGTTGTTGTTGTTTTTTAAGGGTGTGGCCTCAGTAGGTTTATTACGCTCTGGCAGAAGACCACACATTCCAGAGTATAAGCGCAGCACAAATTGTATTTGATGGTTAAATAAAAATAAGGACACAACGTTGATGGGTAGGGAAGGTGGGTGGAGGAGATGAATATGGTCAAAGTAGACTGTGCGACGTTCTCCAAGAACTAATAAAAATGGGGGGAGGAAGGGGGGATTCTTTTAAAAAGACAAAGAGTAAATGCAAACTTTAACCCATCTCATGCCTTACACGAATACATCCCAACAGGGACATAGATGCCCTGCTCCTTAAAACACATTCTGTGAGGGAAATGAGTATGTAGACACCCAGAGTCTCCAAGGATGCTAACTCTCAAATCTCTCCCCCCAGAGACATCTCCGTGCACAGCCTCATGCTGCTGCTGCTTTTGTTTATAACATACGGGAGAGTCTCTCCAGGTGAATATTCTCTCAATCAAGCCATCAGGGAGGAATTTACAAGGTAGGAGGTATGGGGAGCTCTTGCAGATCTGGGGAATGTGGCACTAGTTCATGGTCACTGCACTCACACACCCAAAGAGAACTCCAAGTTCTGGTTCCAGAAGCAGTTTCCTTCGCTTTGTTCCAGAAGGAGGTGACCTACAGACTCTCTACCCTCTCCTTAAGTCATTTCACCTCTACAGACTGAGCTTAGAGAACGGTCTTCATCACGGCTGCAGGTGAAGTCTGGGAAAGGCTGTCTAATTACCCACGTTAACAGAAGGCTCCATGTGCAGACTTTGGCCATGTGCTTGGCATCTCATTTGGGGTCAATAATGAAAGAAATTCTCAGAACAAGGGGTGATACCATCTATTTTGCAGAAAAGCATCAATGTTCTTCCACCAAAGTCTACAGTTGCAATTTATGATTCGTGACACCCGATTTCAAAGTGCCACGCTCTGTCAAGCTCTCTACCACATCTGGAGTATTTATTTGCTTTTTTACTTTTAAATGCAACAGACTTCCATCATAAGGGAACACTAACCAAGTAAACAGTCCAAGGCAGAGGCACACTCTCCTGGCACCTGCCAAGTGGATATTTGGGGGGTCTCGACACCTCTGAGGTTAGGATGCCCAAAGAGATGAGTGAACACACGGAATAGAACATTCCTTTGTCCGTGAATTTTGCTAACCAGGCAGTTTCTCCAAGGCACTTTGACTCTAGCAATATGAATAGTTGCCTGCTTCCTAGAGACAGGGATACAACAACTCCACAAGTTCAGGGGTTTCCTTTCTCTTTCTGTGGGGAATATCTTAATACTCATTTCTGTAGCATTTTCATGAATGTGTTGCCTTTGATTCTCATTCAGCTTTGTATAAATGTATTTGTCACATTTGGGGGCAGGAGAGGGCGGTAGTAAAATCCATCTCATCTTTTTGATATTTTTCGATTCTCTAAGACAGAGGAACACTGGTACTCTGTTAGATAGTGACTCACGAATGTCATTCCCTGTATTTTTATGACTGTATTGATCCTTAACAAGGTCCTGCCTGGAAGTCCCAATACTTGGAATTGCCATAGCTCAGTAATCTCACCTCTTACTGCTGCAGCTCCGGGGAAGCTACATGGTATTTTCTGTGCCCCAGCTGGCAAAGCTTTCTACTCTGACAACTTAGTTCTTCCAACTGAACAGGTACATAGACTGCCAGGAGGGGGCGCTGTGAGCAAAACAAAGAGACCATGTGGGGCATTTTCTGTATGTAGACATGGAAATCAAAATGCTAGAAACACTGATTTGGCTAATTTACTTCGATCTCCTATTTCATGGTGTTCTTTTTACTAGACCTTTCTCATATGCCTCTCGGTAGTCGATTCTGGCTGAGATAATATCTGTAAGATCCCTATGTGCATTTGGGCCTGGCATGCTCAGGTACACCGCTGAGATGTTGACCCAGGTGTGCTTAAACCCCTTAGGTTTCCCACATCGTAGAGAAACCTCACTGCCTCTTGTAGGTCTGGTCACCAGGCAGGCCATATTTATATATCCCGGTTCAAAATGGAATGTTTAAAGTGGACCCTGTCTGCCTCACCCATCCCCCAGTACCTAATCCTAAAAATCAACAAGTCCTGAGGGGCTGGTATTTGTAGCATTCCAGAGAGAGCTGGGGACCAAACCCAGGGGAAGGGAATCCTATGGAATCCAGGGAGAGCTCTCGTGGCTCCCCGAGGCAGGCAGTCCTTTGGCTCCGGGCTGCAGTGTCCTCCTCTATAAACCTCAGCAGAGGAGAGTCTAGATTTCTTCAACAACAACAAAGTATTACCCTAGTAGCAGACTTGTGACATTTAATCTGAACTCAAAGTCTTCATAAAATCCCAAGACAACAAAACAAAACTAAGCCATGAGTTAGGCGCTGGTAACTGGAGGCAGAACCGGGCTCCATCCCAGTGAGCTGAGATTGATTGCTCATGTCTTTTCTCCTCACTGCACTGCTGCTATGGGCCATTTGATAGAGTCACTGTAATTAGTACACACAGGACCAGGACATGCTTGGATCCTCCAGTTCACCTCCTGCTCTCCAGTTTACCAGGAATGAGCAGGAGATGATTCCTGTGGTGGGGGATGTGTGAGCTCTGGGTCACCACACAGGTGTTTCTTCAATGATGTCCCAACAAGGAGCAAGTATCCGAGAGTGATGCTTAAATATGGGCAAAGCCGCCTCGGGGTTGATTTCCCAGCACCTGCAAAAGTTTTGTGGGGAGCTGGAGAGATGGCTCAGTGGTTAGGAGTACTGGCTGGTACTCTTAACTCTGGTTCACAACCATCTGTAACTCTAGTTCCAGGGGATTCAATGCCCCCTTCTGGCCTCCAAAGGCACCAGGCACCCATATGGTGCACAGACATGCATGCAAGGAAAACACCCATACGTGTAAAAATAAACAAAATCTAAAAAATTTTAAGTGTTATGGGAATTCAGTGTGGATATTAGATGTCACTAGTTTGTTTTTTAAAGCAGATAGGGAACATACTAAGTGACAAGTATGTAGCCAGCTTGTCTGCCAAACAACCCTCCCTGCCTCCGGCTCTTCGACCTTCTCTTTGTCTAGTGCTCTCCCCCAGAGGTTGGAACTATTTTCAGGGCTTTATCAGGGCCCTACCATGACTTTGCCCCTTCCTCTCCTCCTGCCCGGGAAATGGACTGTTTCTTCATCACAGCCTCTTGATACCTCTGCAGCTCTCCCCCTTGCTCAGAATTTGACAAGACCTTTGGCCAAATGTTTGGAGAAGTGTGAGATTGAGAACTAGCAGTCAGTCGGGGGCCTACAGAGATTAGGCTCCAGTCGTACAAAACAAGCACTTGGATGGGTAAGAGAGGATCTCTACCCAAGAAGAGGGAACTAGAGCTGGAGAAGGCTCTGTGGTTAAGAGTGAGTAGTGCTCTTCCAGAGAACCCAGGTTCGGTTCCAGCATCCATGTCCAGCAGCTCACAACTGCCTGTAACTCCAGCTGCAGGGGACTCAGTTCTCTCATTTGGCCTCTGCGGTTGTTACCTGCACACACATCTTACACACACACACACACACACACACACACACACACAGGGGTGGCGTGGGGTGGATCATAAATACAAATTTTGGAGAAGAGGAAGAAGAGGAGAAGGAAGGGAGAAAGGAAGGGAGGGAGGGAGGGAGGGAGGGAGGGAGGGAGGGAGGAACTAAAAGGAGTCAGATCAATGGCTCCTGGGGTTTTACTCACATATGCTCTGGAAATTTTGAGTGGATTTACAGTGTATATAAATTGCTGGTGGGGTTGTTTGTTTCTCTCTATTAACATATTTGAAGGCTTTTCCTTGCCCTTGATTTCTTTTTTATTAAACTGTTCAGCTTTTTTTTTCATGGTTTGTAAGATATTACTGCACACACACACACACACACACACACACACACACACACACACACACACACACCAGTCACCTCCCAAGCTACTCTTAAGGAGTTCCTGCCTGCCACCCAGGCAGAGGCTTTCTGGCAGGAAACATTGGCCTGCCAGCATCTGGTGTGAGTACTTCTGCTGTGGCTCTCCTCAGGTGATGGAGGTCATGTCCCTGAACATGGAGTTAAGAGATGCCTGCAGCTGGCTTTCTGCCTGGTGCACACTAGCTCAAGTGACCGGTTCCCTGTAGCTCGGCTAACCTGACCTCCACCAAAAATGCTCAGGACAGTCAGTCCATCTGCCCCCAGTTGATGACCTCAGCTGAGGTCAAGCCTACTTCATTATCAACTGTTGAACATCTCATAGAATTGGATACTGTGCTAAAAATGAAAAACAGAAATGTTGGTGAAATTTTGTACCACTGTAAAGTCAAAATATTATCAGTTGAAACTCTTTTATTATTGGCTGCATGTACACACACACACACACACACACACACACATACACACACACACACACACACACACACACACACACACACACACAGAAGAACAAGAATTTGGTCTTGTTTTCCAGTGTCTGGAAGACTGCCTGGTGCTTCATAGTTACACAGTAATGTTTGTTGAGTGAATGAGCAAGTCAATGAACAAGTGGTTTTTCCTGCTGTTTCTCTTCCCTCTGCCACTGAGGAGCAAAGTGAATTCTGGGGTTGTACCTCATACTGCAGCTTGCTTTGGCTTAATTCTCACAGACTACCTGGAACATGGATGGGAAAAAAAATATCAGAAAAAAAGCAGTCAACTTTTCCCTTGTTGTTCTTATGGATTCATGCACACTTTTTGTTTTGTTCTTGGATTAAGAAATGCCAGACACTCCTTTGGGGACCTGAGCAGCACCGATGACTGGTGGGACTGGACTCTGAGCACTTTGCTGGATGGGCTGCACCCAGAAGGACCCTCTGTTGGAGCCCGGGGGGCTCAGGTGGGTATTCATTTCCTGTCTGTCAGAAACCGTATGGCAGTGAGGGGAACCGCAAGGCAGCTCCATGGCGCCATGGCAGGCAAAGAAATCTGTTAGTCTCCTTGCCTGGACAAGACTCCATGACAGCCCATGATGGCCTATGCTGGCTTCCTAAGCTATTCATGCTCTCCAGTCAATGCTTGTCAGTCCAAGCAGGGCCTGGACACTTTAACAGGGGTTCAAGGTGAGACTGAGGAAGAAGCTAGCTTACTGCCAGCATGACAAGGGCTCAGGAGTCCCCAGAGCAGAAGAGGAGCCCACGGCTAAGGCAGCAGCATTAGGGACGCTTCCAGAGAGGGGCAAGCCTGGTCCTGAATTTGAACTGCCCCGTTTCTCATTCATAGTTCACTTTCTCCCCTTTTTGAAAAATATAAGATCTTTGTCCTACGTTCCTCAAACATTTTGTCCTTTTATCATTCCTCATTTCATTTTCTTGTATTCCATGAGTGTCATGGGGACGCCTGGGGTCCTTCACATGATGGAGACTTCAAGGGGAAGGCATTTGAATGCTTTCCTTTTCCGAAGAGGCGGCTGGAGGGTGGGGGTGTCGGCTGAATCTTCAGAAAGTTGGTTTCTGGAGTACTGGTTGCATCCTTCCTTGGGTTCTCAGGACAATGAACTTCTGACTCTGCAGATGCAGTGACCCGTGTTCCCCGACCCTTGTCAATGATGCTGTACAGTGGCAATCGAAGGTCACTGTGCTCTAACACTCCGTGTCGCTTCCTCTCTCAGCCTGGAGCTCTCGGAGGGCAGTGCCATCTCATAGGCCCTTCTGTGATCAAGCAGCTGAAGGTTTCTTTCGATACTGCATGCACAGTAAGTACACCGGGAGACTCGGGGACAGGGCCCGGCAGATCAGTTAAGCTCCTCAGACAGTTGGGAGGTAGTGTGAGATTTCCAGGTGCCAGGGCCAACTTTCCTTCTGCCCTTCCCAAGCACCCTTTTGTATCCTCTACACTCTTCCCCAGAACTGTTCTCTTCACTTCTACAGTTGGCATTCTAGGCAAAAGAAGGCCTACAGAGCTAACTCCTCTGCTGAAGCCTCCAGCAGGCACAGCCTTGATTCCAGAGATCATGAAGTGGGCTGCAGAATGGTCCTTGAGAGTGGCAGGGTCCCTGACTACATAGTTGGCTGTACTCTGTGTGAATAGAGCTTGGGAGCCCCACAATGCAGATGGACTTGGGGACAGGGATTGATTGGGGGGTTACATGATTGGTAGTTTGTGCTATAGCCTCCCAGGCCATTCTCAGAGCTCATGGAAGATGCACTACCTACACAGAGTCATGACCTTGACCTTGAGAGCCAAAATATGACGCCTGGTGGTCCTGAGGCCTGTGGGGTGAAGAAGGAGAGCTCCATGCACAGCCTAGGAAGAACAAGGTCAGTGAGCATCAGCAAGAGGCTCCCAGGCCCCACACTGTGAGGTGAGGCTTATCAGCTGTGGGCTCAGCTTCTGGGCAGGCCAGCACTACCAGGGCCTGAGCAGTGCTTCAGAACAATAGTGTGGAAGAACTCAGACTCCAGTGTTCAGACCCAAGTACATAGAGGAGAACAGAACGGGACATTCTTTAAGAGTGGCTGCCAGAGCCTGCAGAGTCATGGAGGCAGGTGAATCTCTGTCTTTTGCTTTCGGTGTGCCAAGCAGGGTGCTCACATGGTCTTGATTATTCCTCCCCTAACTCCTAGGGGAGCACAAATGTGTAGCCAGAGGCTTTTGTGTGTCCTGCTCTGTCCCGCAGATGCTTATGAAATAATCACTCAGAGACTTACATTAATTATAAATGCCAGACTTATTACTAACTACCTCTTACAACTTAAATTAACCCTTTTCTATTAATCTATATTTTGCCATGTGGCCATGGCATTACTGGTCTGCTAGCATCTTGCTCCTTGGGCAGCTGGATGGCATTTGCCAGACTCCATTCTTCTTCTACTGTATCTCTGGTTGGATTTCCTGCCTGACTCTACCCTGCCTTGCCATAGGCCAAAGCAGCTTCCTTATTAACCAATGAGAGCAACAGATACTCACAGCATACAGAAGGACATTCACATCACAGAGACTACCTTTAACTGCATTGAGCAGATGAGGAGTGGGTTTTCCATCATGTATAGATATGGCACACATATACTATGCTTCCTATAGCCCAGCCTGTAGTCAGGTGCCCTGCCAGTTCTACAGGATGCCCTAGGCCCAGTTCATGGCACAGCCTACACCACAGAATGGAGTTTTGCATAAGAAATCAATCCGTGCAGTTATAGTAGTGTGCCCAGACCCCCAAAAAAGGACATGATTTGCTACTAAATATGAATTGGTATAGTCTCTTTCTATCCATGCAGTCCACTGTGAAAAGAAGGATTTGAATATCCGTGAGCCCTTGGGGAGGGCTGCTGGGCATCTCTCCCTCACAGGGCACAGGTGAGGGTAGTCACTGTCTGTTGGCTTGGGATTATGCCCTTGCTGCAGAGACAAGGAGGAGGAGGGAAAGAGGGTCAGTGGGCTCCTGGTGGGGACCCTAGCCCACAGAAGGACTGTCTGTGCAAAAATCGGAAGTCTGGGGGTCATCTGTCCCCATGAAGGCTGGCATTGGGTACACTGGGCGTGGTGCCACCAATGGGGTTTCCCCTGGACCCCCAAGTCTGGTTTCCTGTCCTCCCTCTGACCCTGAGCTGCTTTCCAGGCATGAAGCCCACTCAGCCCTGACCGCCCTCAGGGCCAACAGGTGGATCAACCAGGGCAGCAGGGCCATGTCTGTGCACTTCACTCTCTACAACCCTCCAACACGACTCTTCACGAGTGTGACCCTAGGCGCGGAGCTGCTCCCCACGGGAGGTCTTGCCCCCTCATCCTTGGTAGAGTCGTTCAGCATCTTCCATAATGCCTCAGTCCCGCAGTACCTTCTTAAGCTTTCTGAGGTGAGTTCACCTGTTCTGGGCCTCCTGCATGGACACGGGGAACTGGGGCTCCACCTGGGCTAAATACCGCTCCAGGCTAAATACCTTCTGCCTCCACGGAACTAGGGCCCTCCATTGGCCCACCTGTGTAATTTTTATTATGTCCCTTTCATACAGTATGAATCATAGAATAAGTGTTGGGACTGGAGACAAGGAAGATCCCCAATAGGGAAGCCAACCATCACATACAAAATGAGCACAAATATTCAACTGCCTCGATGTACTAAATTCATCGTGGAGGCTTCGTCAGCCCCAGCCACCATAACAAAAGACTGTCATCCCTTGTTGTTTAACATTTAACTTTCTTTTTTTTTTTTTTTTTTTTTTTTTGGTTTTT